CGCCTCCTCTGAGTCTCCGAATGCGTTACTCTTTCCTCCTAGTTGTAGGACTTCCACTCAGCCAGCGTTCCTGTGGGTCTGGGTGATGTCCCTTCCGTCTTTTAGTTTCACTTTTGAAATGGTTGTTCGAGGCGGCAAACTCCGGCGTTAACCTATGCCGCCATCTTGGTTCTCCCTAAATAGACTAAATTTTTATTTTCCCGTAACCAGTGTTTATTCTAGTTCAGTAATAAGTAAACCCCCTTTTAAGGAAAACATTATCATAAAACCTTTCCCCTAATTTCCAATTTAACTGTTTTTGCATTATTTAAATAGGTTTTAGAGAAGCACAAAAACCAATACATTAGCTCTTTATGCTGGTGTCCCCTTTACTATAAATCTAACTATAATGTCAGTATGATGTTCAGTTTAAATTAAATCACCACTTGCATGTGAGAATACTGCCAGATGTGCTGTGATTACTCAGTTCTCCCGCTACTTTTCTCGAGTGTAAATTTTCTCTAGTATAATTTCTACTAAACCTCTGTTGATTCACCATGACATCATTTGGCCTTCACTCGGCACAAAACCATCATTTAAACAAAGTAAAGTCTGTTTCTCTGTCTCTTTCTCCTTCACTTAAGTCAAACTTGTACCACTTCAAGCCAGCCCAGTCTTAAATATAAATAGAGCCACTGAAGTCGCGTACAGTTAAATGGAATAAAACAATTTTTTTTGCACCAATTATCAGGGGGAACTTGCAGCTCCTAGAGATTGTGAGAGGATCCCCTCAGAGTTTGAGAAACAACATTCTTACAGCACTTTCTCTCCTTATGTCAGAAGGGGTAGTGTAACGATTCTACGAGGTGTAACTTGAGAAAATTGTCAGGTTTTTTTCCAGAGGCAAAATAATTTGTCTAGATTACATCTTTTATCTATTCATCATAACATTTATTACCGAAATGTTTATTTGTCAGCTTGGTTGATGTTAATAAGCTATTGGGACTTTTGAGGTTGTTGGGGCAGTTTCAAAGTCAAAACCTTTTGAATAAAAGATTTGAATGACATTTAAGAGATCTTAAGAAGATATGGGGTTGAATATATTTCCTAAAATGCACTTGTCTTTTGAATCTTTGCAGATTTTAAAGCCTGCAGAGAAAAAGAAGCCGAGTGCCACAAGACCCGTAACACCTCCAAGGGGTATGATCACAAAGCAAGCAAAGAAATAGATACCATTTTGACACTGCCTAGTTGGGACTTGTAACATATAGTATATAACCTTCCTTTCTAAAACTGTAATGTGTATTGGTCAGCTTGCTCAAATAGTGTGTTTGTGGGGCCCTCCCATTTTTTCAGTTAATGAATGGCATTTGCTGGTTATTACAGCAAATGAAAGACTTCACTCCCAAGAAAAAATGTTTTGTTTTTTAATTCTCTCTTCCTTTTGCAAGCAAGTTTAATGATGGTGTTAAAGCTGTGCACCCCCCAGACAGTTTATCCTGTCTAAGAGGTAACTGTACAATTGACTTTCTTTTTTCAATTCAGTAAAACCCATGAATAATTGTAAATGCTCGTTTTCTTTAGGATATAAAGAGAGCCCTAGGGTGCTCAGTCTGTACATGTTATTGTCATAAAATGCATACTGTTGATACAAATCACTGTGAACATTTTTTTTTTTTAGGAATTTGTTTCAAAGGGATTGCTTATTTCTCTCATTGTCTTGTCATGTACAAACTGGTTTTTATAGTTATCAACATTAGGAGTAACTTTCAACGTTGCCAGCCATATAGTCTATTCATTAAGTAATCTTTTTACAGTTGCATCAGGCCTGAACTCGTCCATTCAGAAAGCTCCAAATTATAGAAACAATACTGTTCTGTACGACTGAGCAATTATGCTTTCTTTGGCCTACAGTCTTTATTCTGCGGTGAAGTTGAGGCTTATAAGTCAAAACAAAAGAACTAACTTACCTATCCACCAGTTTATACAGAACTTACCTTATCTATGACTTTTTTAAACCAAGATCTGTTCAAAAGAAATCTGTTTCAACAGATGACCGTGTACAATACCATGTGATGAAAGTGAATTCAGACTTATTAAATGACGAACTTGTTAAATCCTCTCAGTGTCAATTTATCAGCACAATGCACACAGGAGAACTATTGATGGCATATTGACTAGATGTTAAAGAATAAATTGCTCTGGAAACCACACAGTTTCTATTTGAATTTGTCTTCCTTCAAATAGTCTGTTTTCCCAAGATGGATTATAATGCATGCTCATGTTCTTTGAATTCTAACCTGGATGTAAGTAAGTTTCTACAGTGGCGTGATGAGATTAAACTATCCTCCCATAATATATTTGGGGAGGTGTGGGGTTTGGTGAGCTGTGATTTTATCTGTATTCATAGTTTTCTTTTTGTCTGGGTTCAGTTGGACTTGGTAATTCAGGAGCTACTTTATATTTGTCACACGTGTTGAATGCACACATTAATCTCAGAGTAAATTAAAAGTGGGTAAAGCATTTTAAATTAAAAGCACTCTGTCATTTTAAATTAAAAGCTCTTCTGTCAAAAAGGGAGTTTGGCCGAAGCCGGTTTGGCTCAGTGGATGGAGCATCGGCCTGCGGACTGAAGGGTCCCAGGTTCGATTCTGGTCGGGGGCATGTGCCTGGGTTGCGGGCGCATCCCCAGTGGGAGATGTGCAGGAGGCAGCTGATCGATGTCTCTCTCTCATCGATGTTTCTAACTCTCTCTCTCTCTCCCTTCCTCTCTGTAAAAAATCAATAAAATATATTTTTAAAAAAAGGGGGGAGTTTGAAGAGGACCTGCTTGTGAGGGGCAATTTTAACTGATGGTGGAGGGGAGAGCGCAGGCATGCTGGGGTGGCCTCCCATCTATACAAACGGGCTCTGGTCCTGAGGCATAGCCCCCCGGGTGCTCCTCTGCCAGTGAGAGAAGTGAGACCTCGTGGCCTACTGCCTTCCTGCTCCACATTCAGTGATAAATCCACAGTTGCATTTCACTTTTCCTCTAATTCTCCCAGACCTCTTTGACTACAGGGGAAAAATGGGCAATAATTGATTGTCTCAAAGGCCACTTTCATATGTCTTGAATCTATGCTCTGGACATTATCAATTGTGTCACTTCTAAGATTTCAAAACTAAAGTTGTAATATTGGGCCACTCTGCATAGGTTATAGAGCAGGGGTGGGCAAACTTTTTGACTCGAGGGCCACAATGGGTTCTTAAACTGGACCGGAGGGCCGGAACAAAAGAATGGATGGAGTGTTTGTGTGAACTAATATAAAGTCAAAGTAAACATCATTACATAAAGGGGTACAGTCTTTTTTTTTTTTTTTTTTAAGTTTTATTCATTTCAAACGAGCCGGATCTGACCCGCGGCCCGTAGTTTGCCCACGGCTGTTATAGAGTGTAGAGTGTGGTGCCTGGCTTAAAATTCCTTCAGAAAACCAACAGTCATGGCACTGGTTAGGTAGAGAACAAAGTCAATATCTTGGGTTGTAGGACGTGAGGTTTTAGAAGAGCTTTGAATAATTTGAAACTTGTATGTGACAACAGAACTTGAGGCCTTACCTTGTAACTCCCAGTCTACCCTAACCTTTCTCATTTGATAAGCTAGTGGTTTCACCTGATTCAAGCCCTGCCTCCTCTCCTAGTTGTATAATTTGAGGAGTTTAAATGCTGAGCCACACTGTCCCCTAGCTACAAAAGGACAGTCCCTGCCCCTCAATGTGAATCAGTGAGTGAAATAATACGATAGGCTCAGAAGAGTGTTTGACTTAGGATAGTATTCAGTAAATAGTTACTACTTAATCCCTTACAATTATTCTTAGTTGTTTCATGTGTTTGAATATCTCAGTTGGTTGATTGTAAGTAGCCACCTACCTTTTGTTTGTGGCCTGGTTATGACCTGGTTCTGAGCGGTGGATAGCTAAGCCTTTCTGAGTACTGACTGCATGCGGAACACATGGATAATTTTCAGCAGATGCAAAAGAAATAACTAGGAAACATGAAGTCGTAATTATTAGTGTAATATTTTAAATGGTAGTTTTCTTTGAAGTGACTGTTTTATAATGTATTTCAGCTCTCAAAATGACCGCACCATTACAAAACCATTAGGAAGATAGGTGATAGCCATCCTTAAATGTAGCTAAACAGTCTGTATAATATAATTTAAACCCATCCATTAAAGTCATGGATTGGTACCTACTGGACTAGGCCTACCCACATCCAGCTGCAGTGCACAGCACAGATGTTACACGGCACCCTTGTTCTTGAAGCACCTTGATGTAAGACCAGAGACTTCTCAAGTAACACACCCAAGTGTGTTTTGAGACATGGGGACTAGGAATAAGCGAGTGCTGAGCCGTGAAGGTACAGGATTTAGATTGATGGAAATAACCTGTTTTCTATGACGGGCGGTTAAAAGGAAACTCAGTTTGCTGGTAAACTAAGGCATCATGCTATCCAGGAAGGGCATGAATGTGGTGGTTTGGACAGAACTGGGATCTGTTGGAGGGCAAAGAAGAAATGTTTCACGCAGGTTTGGCTATGCAGACAGTGAAAGGCTTTTGAGTTCTGTATGCCCGTTTCCCACCTCTTGGAAGAGACCCAAAGCTCATTCAGCCTTGTAGACCAGCTAGCTTGAACCTGTGTGAATGACTTCACTCTTCAGTTCTGCAAATCTGATGTACACCTGAGCCTAGACCAGAAGAATATGCCCTCTGCCCCAGGCTTTTCCTCACCTATAAATAGGGAACTAGGGGACTTACTCCCTGATGGGATTGTGACTATTAAACGACAAAAGGTGCCTACAACTTGGCTTACACATTCAGTAAAAAGCTCTAAGATACCAAAGGATATTTCTAAGATTGACATCAATGACAATGCAAACCAATATCAGGAAAACGTGGTGCAGGCACAAGTTGATTTCCATTCATCCTTACTGGGTTATATATGTGAGCTGCAGAAAAAGAGTGAAATAAAGATGCACTATTAATGCCTTCAACCTTAACCCAAGACTGGAACAGAATGAATACTTACAATTCCTGGCTTCCTTGGAATTTGTGCATGATTGACTAAGTGAACAGAGATGACTATCCATCTGATCAGCACAATAGCTTCAGTAGCTGGAAAAAGCATGGCTTTTGCATTTGTTGCAAATACCTGAATAAATTCCAATACAGGTAGGCATTTCTGTTGTGGGAATTATGTCATTTTGTCTGTATTTGGAATATAAATATGTTACAGGATTAATAAAGCACTTTGGTTAATTATGAAAACTTGGAATCAAATAGAAAGTTAGCGACAATTCAATAGGAAAATATATTGTTACCTAGATAAGTTCAGAAAGAACTTTATACTCTGAGCTAACGAAAGTTTATAAGAATTTTAAAATATAAGGCACACAAATTATTGGAAGTTAATCAGGTGGCAACAGTCTTAAGTACTTCAAGAAATATTTGGAAAGCATATCAAAGCACTGTACAGGCTTGAGAGAGGGATTGTGTAAAATTAAATTGTCACCACCTAGATTTTTTTTAAAATAAATATTGTTTAAAGTATTACATATGTCCCCCTTTTCCCCTCCATTGACCTCCAACACCAGATCCTCACCACCCCACCACCATCTGTGTCCATGGGTTATGCAAATATGCATACAAGGTCTTTGGTTGATTACCTCTCCCCTGCCTTTCCTCCGAGATTCCACACTATTCCATGTTTCCATGTCTCTGGATCCATTCTGTTCATCAGTTTATTTTGATAATTAGATTCCACATATGAGTGAGATCATGTGATACTTGTCTTTCTCTGACAAGTATTTTACTTAGCATGATACTCTCCAAGTCCCTCCATGCTGTCTTAAAGCCACCCAGGTTTGGTTTTGTTTTTTGTTTTTAGAAAGAGAGAGAGGAACGTCGATTCTACTGAGGATCAAGTGTGCAACCCAGGCATGTGCCCTGACCGGGAATGGAGCTTGCAACCTCTTGGTGCATGGGTCGATGCTCAAGCACTGAGCCACACTAGCTGGGCCCAACTAGATTTTAAGTCTTGAAATTGGGAATGACATAGTCATTATCTTACTATTAGGACACAGCATTCAATTTGGTGGTAGGGCCAGCCAAAAAACAACTTGTCTCCTACCAGCTTCAGGTAAAAGCACCTACGTAGTATTACAAATGTGCAAATACCATAGGAGCAGTGCTAAGAAAGTATTGTTCCTGCCCAATGTCAAACATTTGAAAATCCAAAGTTGTAATAATTAAACCGTAAGGCCTAGTTTTTTACCCCCCTATGGATTTCAAGTTCATTCTTGTCTCAAACAATTCTCTAATATTGGCTGAGACCAAATGTTGAATTGTAATCATTCAGCCAAGATGCATATTTGGTGCAACTATAGGAAAAATTCTGAAGAGCCATTTAAAAATGCATATTTCTGCCCGACTGGTGTGGCTTAGTGGTTGAGCATTGACCTATGAACCAGTTCACAGTTCGATTCCCAGTCAGGGCACATGTCGGGTTGTAGGCTCAATCCCCAGTAGGGGGTGTGCAGGAGGCAGCCAATCAATGACTCATGTTTCTATCTATCCCTCTCCCTCTCTGAAATCAATAAAAATACATTTTAAAAAATAGA